CAGGGTGGGGGGGTGGGGGGTAGCCGTTGAAGGCATTCCTTCCTGCCGCTCACAGCTCCGTGAGTGGCAGCTTGATCTCTGGGCGGTGGAGAGTGCCTTCGTTCACTAAGCCTTGACATTTGTCAGGTGCCTCCCTCCCTGCACACAGCTTTCCTCTGCCTCCGAGGAGACGGGCAGGGAGCTCAGCCAACAGCCAGACGTCTGGCTTCCTGCAGTCTGTTTCCCACCACCCATGGTTGTGGCCATTTTTCCGGCCTCAACACCTGTCTTCCCGTAACAACCCGAGCAGGCCGAGGCCCCTGTGCCACCCCCGTGTGAGAGGCAGGCGAGGAGAAGCGGGGCCCCTCCAGGCCTGTGGGGTGTCCGCTCCAGGAAGGACGAGGCAGGAGACCACAGGGGAAAAGGCGCCCTCCAGCAGTCCTTGCCCCTCCAGCCTCTCCCATGTGCCTGCCAGGGCGGAGAAGGCCTCACCTGGAGAGAGAACCGTGTTCTGCACCCCATGCCGGAGAGCGCTGCCGAAGTACTGGGGTGACAGGGCCTGAGCTGGGCTGGGCGCCTCCGTGAGTAATGCGGTCTTTGCGATGTCTGGGTTACAGAAGAAACACTCTGGTGAGCTGACGTGGAAGTCCTCGTCTTGGTGACCCCCCCTCCCCGACATACCTAGAGGCTCCACCTTGGGACCCTATGACCTCGCAAAGCCAAAGAGAAACCATGCCCTCTTTTGTACCCACATAGGCAGAACTGTTCTGGGTGGCATCCCAGGGAATTCCAAATGGGGCATTTTTGTTGATCTGGGGAAGATTCTCTCCAAAGGAGAATTTGAGATGCAGACCGATGGGCAGCTTTCTGCCTGGCCCGCCTTTCTCCTGACCTTCATGCAGCTCGCTCTGTGTGCATGTGTGTGCATGTGTGTGCGTGTGTGCATGTGTGTGTGTGTGTGCGCGCGTCTGTCTGCCTGCCTGCCTGCCTGCCTGCCTGTGTGTCTGTCTGTCTTCATTCTGCATTCCAGCCTCTGGGCTCGCTCCAGGATCCAAGGGAGGGAGTCTAGTCATGGACCCCATATCCCTCATAGGTTACATGGTCCCTTTGATGATGAGAAGGCAGTGTCTCCGAATGAAACCTCTCTCACCCATAGGCAGGGAGCGCTTGGGTGCCCCCTGGATGGCTGCTAGCGCTTGATAAAAAGCCAGCCTGCTTCAAATCCCAGAGTGGTATCTGTGCTCCGTTTGAGAAACCAACGTTTAAGGGTCCTCTGCCCAGGCATATAGATACTGAGGAGACCCAGCTCCTCCGTAGAGCAGCCCCCTCAAGCTTTAATGTGCACACTCCTCCAGGGATCACCCAGAGGTCTTGTTAAACACACAGGCTCTGCCTCAGCAGTCCTGGGGGCGGCCTGAAATTCTGCATTTCTAACAAGTGCCCAGGTGATGCCCACGTGGACACCCCACAGACCGCACTGTGAGTAGTGAGTCCTCAGAGGCCCATGTTTATTCCATGATGTCCTCAGTGACCCTGCCTCTTAGGTTCCTACTGATGGATTGGAGAGTCTTCTCCAGCTTGTCAAAACAGGCCTGAACCTGGCACATACCCTACATAGACTGTCACCTGAGATTCTAGAAGAAAAAGAACTTTTTGAGAACAAATGTTTCCCCATCCTTCCCTTGCCGGAAATGAATAAACAGCAGGGACTACTTACCGTGAATGCAGCATTTTGAAAAATTATTTTCTCCCCGTGTGTAATTTGCCTGTCTCACTAAATCGTAGTCCTGTAACATGATCTGGTAGAGGACTCAATTAAAAGCTTCCGAAAAAACACATTTTTGTGGCCCTAGTGGCACCGGAGTTTACCTGGCAAGCTGGTGGCATGTGAGGACATAATGTCAGGAAACGCGCTCAGGGCAGAGGAAGAGATTCGAGGTCCAGAAATGCTGAGGAGTGAGAAGTTCTCCATGTTGTGACTACCGTAGGGTATGGAGATTATGCACCTGTTCCCAAGAGGCTGTTTGGGTTGTCCAGACGATAAACATTCTGAGCACCGTTGACATCACAAGGTCACCTGATTCCACTCCCCAGCTAGGGTATCCCTTTCAAACATGGATAGCATCTATCACGTTCTGTAAAGATTTCTTTTGACTTGTCATTCCTCGTTGGCTGGCCTGGATTGAGGATACCTGGGGCGGGGGG